TCCCACATACATGGTCCCTGTCCCGCACACACGGTCCCTGTCCCGCATACATGGTCCCTGTCCCACATACATGGTCCATGTCCCACACACATGGTCCCTGTCCTGCACACACAGTGTCTATCCCACACACACGGTCCGTGTCCCACACACACGGTGTCTATCCCACACACATGGTCCCTGTCCCGCACACGCAGGCTCATCATACACGCAGTCTCTGCTATTTCAGGGCATGAAGACCAAGCACATCAACCGTTTCCATCACCCCACTGTCAGGGACGAATTCCAGGGAAATGCATCTGGGAACTCACCAGTAAAAACCACTGAATACGCTGCGTTGGGAGGGACCCACAAGGATCATCAAAGTCCAACCCCTGGCCCTCCACAGACACCCCAACAATCCCACCCTGTCCCTGAGAGTGTTTTCCAAACACTCCTGGAGCTCTGGCAGCCTTGGGGCCGTGACCAAACCCTGGGGAGCCTGGGCAGTGCCCAACCACCCTCTGGGGGAAGAACCTTTTCCTGAGATCCCACCTGACACAGCTCCAGCCATTCCCTGGGGTCCTGGCACTGGTCACCAGGAGCCTTCCACGTGGATGCTGCTCCGTTCTTCTCCACCAGATGCTGCAGGAGGGCACAGGCCCCTGCTCCTGTGCCAGGAGGGCAGCAGGATGTGGGGATGGACCCTCGAGGGGTACACGTGCCTCACACCTGAGGAGGCACAGAATGTGCCCTGCAGTCTTTAATTTGTTAAAAGAAACAGCTGCTCACGTCCACCATCCTGTTGATGTCTTTTCCCAGTGTAATCCTACAGATTTGGGTAACTCTGGAGTTCTCTATCAGCTGCAGTCACATCTGCTGCAGCAAATAACGCACTACTGGTGGTACAGCTATTTTAGGACTAGTTAGAACCCTTTGGAATATAGTGATGGAAATAATTTGTGATAAGTCACTCAGAGAAGCTGTGGCTGCCCCATCCCTGGAAGCGTCTAAGGCCAGGTTGGACGGGGCTTGGAGCAACCTGGGATAGTGGAAGGTGTCCCTGCACATGGCAGGGGGTGGAAGGAGATGAGCTTTAAGGTCCCTTGAAACCCAAACCATTCTGGGATTCCAAGATTTCCATCTGTATTAGCTCCTCAGGAAACAGTCCATGGCTGGGATCCCACCCCCAGCACCTCTGCTGAGATGGGCTGTGTGAGGCAACTCAGACCCACCATCCTCCCACAGGGACTGAGCACCTGCACAGTGCTTTCAGAGCTCAGAACACACGCAGTGCCTGGGAAATGGTGAGATCCTCCCTGTTTCAGTGTGCTTGAGATAATCACCACCAGTATAACGTGCTGGGCAAACACGAACAAGAATAGGAAAAGTGAATTGGCATCAGCAAGGAGATCGAGTCCACTCTCACAGGACCCTAGGAAAGAAAGGCTCCACTTTATAAAACGAGCTTTCATTACACACACAGAGAACAGGGAGGTGCTTGGTCCTCCTTAACAGGAATTTCCACATTTATGACGCGTGCAGGTACTCAAAGTCCACCCCGCCTTTGTGAGAGGCACTGCAGTAACACACCGTGCCAGGTGACATTGGCCAGAGCAGAAACCTGCACAGGTGCTGCTCGAGCACCTGAGCCCAGGGTGGAATGTTCTACCTCAGGGTCACACCCAGCTGCTGCTGCATTTCCTCCCGGAGGCGCAGCTGCAGCTCCGCGGCCCCGCGGCAGCTCAGGGCCCTGTCACAGCTCTGGAAGGTCAGCCTGTAGCAGAGGCTCCTCCGCCCCGTTCCTGCCTGCTGGAAACTGTCCCTTAACTGGATGGAAACCACCGTTTCACCTGACACCCCCCTGGCAAGGGTGTGAAAAGCAACTTCGTCGAACTGCTCCCCCTCCGGAACCCAAAAGCTGACGTCGTGCACGTAGGAAGGGGGATAGAGGGAAAAACTCTTGAAAAGCCTCAGCTCTCCTCTAGGAAACTGCCTCAGGAACCGTGTGTCTGGTGTCCAGAGCATTCTCCAATCGGATATTCCACAGAGCAGCATGGCCAGGAGGTCAAGGTTCAGTGAGGCAAAGACAACCACCAGCTCACTGCTTACTAGCTCATGAGATGTCCTTATAACCCCCAGGCAGGAGCCCTTCTCACAGGAGCCTGGGGGATCTGTCTCCATGCAGATGAAATACTGAATTTTACCAAGCTGAGACTCAAAAGCAGCAAAGTCACTTAGCTCAGTTGTTTCAGAGCTCGCTGCTTCCTGCAGGTTGATATTTGGTTTAGTGCCAGTCTGCTGAAGGGAGTGTATGGTGGATGTAATGTTATTCACCAACATCTGGACACAGCTGCTCTCTGTACCCCTGCTCACTGCAAACACAATGAGCACCTCGTGAAAAACAGGCATGGAGTGAGGAGTGACACGACACTTCCTGAAAACTGGCCCAGAAAGAACACGGAGTGTCCCTGGGAGAAAGGCTCCTTCCTGTATTATTGCCTGAGCATGAGGCAGCAGGGAGGGTCTGAGATAAAACTGCTTTGGACTGTGACATCCTTCTGGCACGTTCTTCTCTGTGCCCTGGCAAAAATCAGCACAGGAAGTTAAAACAGGTCCATTTGCAGGTCCATGAGACATTTCCTCAGGGCTTGGAGTCTCCTCTGGGCTCAGAGTGATCCAAAAGATACTGGAGGGACAAACCCCACTGAGGTTGCCTTGGTGGAGCAGGGGAGGGCAGGAGTCAGTGTCCTGTACTGGAAAGGCTTGGCTGAGCCCTGCAGCAAGCTCCTCCTTCACTGTCCGGACTGGGTGGTTTGAATTCGGTTCTAGGAAACCCCTGGGAAAAATAAAAGTGCAAATTACAGACACCAGTAAACAGATTTCCCTGCAATGCCTTCCTGTGGCCATAGTTTGAGTGCAGCAATTCACCCAAGACATTCTTAAGCCAGTTTTCAGTAACTACCCAAACAAGCCAAGCCTCTCACCAAACGTGTTGCATGTTTTCAGGACAGTGGGGTTTGTCTCCAGGTTGCAATCGAGAATTAATTGAATTTGCTAATAAAAAAGGAGCGGGGCTTTCCAATCATCATATCCATTTATCTGACACCTGGGCACTCCCACTGAGAGCCAAACAGAAACTAATTATAAAACTCACCTGTTAATTTTATCCACAAGGACTTGTGGCACTTGAAAAGAAACCTTTTGGCTTTCCAGTTGTATCCTGCAGCTCCTGGGTGTGAAACACTGGAGAGGAGTGCTCCGTGTGAAAATGTGGTTCAGGGCACCCTCTACACAGAAGGATTTATCTTGGCTCCTGACAACACACAAAACCACAGCAAAGTCACTGATAATTTCTGATATTTAATGTGCCACAAGAAAGCCTTGCACAGGTAATCCATGTGACACCAACACACGTCTTAGTGAATCCCAGGCCTTGTTACAACCCTGCTGGGATTGCCTGCTGAGCAGATACACACACCACAGTCCTCCTGATGATTTTGACCTTTAAAATCCTAAGACAGTCTTATTTTTAGAGGGTACTTTGGCAAGAAGCTTGCGTTTGAATCTTGGCTATTCTGCTTAGAGATGAAAAAGAACTGCAGCTATTTTAAGGAAATTTAAAAGGAGTTCCTCTCCAGCAAACAAGACACTAAAAGAACACACCAGTGCTGGCCTTTATAAGAGCACAAATATCAGAATTTTGGTTTTGGCATGTGATGGTTACCTGTAACCTGTACATTTATATCCATGGATTGTCTCTGCATTAAAAGGATGAACATCACTCAAGATAAATCCAGCTCCAGCTGCCACAGCCACTATTTGCCAGCTGTTGTGCCACTCCCTCCTTGGCTGGTCTGCGGGTGTCCCACCCTGGCCATTGCAAAGAGCCACGTGGACCTCTCCCTCCTCTGCCAGCACTTCTGCGGAGCTGGAAGGAAAGCCACCGACAAGAAGAACCCTGTTAGCACACCCACAAATTTCACAGGGCCAGAAAAGCACCCAGAGCACAGCTACAGACGTGTATCACAGCAGGCAACCAGCACTGAACTATGGCTGGGTTACTCACCTATGGAAAAAGTGGGCAAGCAGCTCCCTGTTCTTCACTACCCCAGCCTTCCTCCCACAGTGGGGGAAGTTGAAGTAAATACAATCAAATTGTCTTTTTTCTGGTGAAAAGTAGTCCTTCAGCTTGGTGCAGTCCACAGAAAACACAACCTCAGCTCCTGCAACAGTAAAGGAAAAAAAAAACCAAACCAAGGGTGTGATGTTTATCACTAGGGGAAATTTTAGAGAAAGGCAGGAATGCTAGTCCTCTAATTGGTTTTAAAGTAGGTGAGAGCTGCCAGGCATCTCCCCAGTCATGCATTAGGAACACCAGGAAGCCTGGGCTCCACTTCACCTCTTGTGGAAACTTCTGAAAATACTTGAAAATAGCGGTTTCAGTGCAATTTCAGCACTGTTTAAGCCTGATCGGGTTTTAGGGTGTTTGATTTGGCCAAATGGACCATTCCAATCCCTCACCCGAGACACCTGGAGTGGCGAGGGGATCCCAAGGGTGTGGAGACAGGGGATTGGAGGGCAATGGCTCTGGATGGAGCCCTGATGAGAGGATGGTGACAGCAAAGGGCTCAGCGACACCGCTTCCTCCTGCCCCCCTGCGCCTGGAGGTACCACCACCACCCATCCCATCCCATCCCACCCGCGCACCCACCGCTCTCCCGCAGCCTCCTGATGCTCCGCGCGGCTCCCCCGCGCCGGGACGCGTCCTCCTCGCTCTCGTAGCAAGTGGCCACCACGTGCGTGCCCTCGGCCCCGCAGAGAGAAGCGGCGAAGGAGAAATTGCCCTCCCCGAGCAGCAGGACGCGGCGGAGCCCCATGCCCGGGCACCGGCACCGGCAGCGGCTCGGAGCCCCCGGGACTGGGAGCCCGCGGTTCCCGGAGCCGAAGTCGCTCGCTCATGACGTGGGGCCGGGTCAGCGGCCACTGCTGGTGGCGTCGGGGCATCCCCGGTGCCTTTTGAGCAGCCGGTTCCCCGCCCCGGGGGGGATCCAGGGAGCTGCCGGTGCTCCCCGGGATGGAGGGATGGAGGGATGGATGGATGGATGGATGAACCGCCGCATCCCCCCCGCCGCCTCCCCAGCGCTGGGAAGGGGGGTGCGCTTTGGGAGAGCTTTCTGAGCCGCTGCGCAACAGGAAATGGGCGTTAAATAAATAAATAAGTGCGGAAATAAATAAATAAAGCCGTTACAGAGCTAAGGAATCGTGGAGTCGCAGAATCCTGGGATGGTTTGGGTCGTCTCGTTCCATGGGCAGGGACGCTTTGCATGGGAAAGGGACACTTTCCCAGGGACTCATCTCATTCCATGGGCAGGGACACTTCCCACTGCCCTGGATGGTTCCAGCCTGTCCTTGGATGCTTCCAGGGCTGGGGCAGCCACAGCTTCTCTGAGCAACCTGTACCAGGGCCTCATCACCCTCACAGGGAACAATTTCTCCCCAATATCCCCCCTAACCCTGCCCTCTGTGTGACAGGATATTGGGGAGGCACTGGGTCCCTGTGGCCTTGGGTAAATCACTTTCTCTGTTTCAAAGGATAAGTGACCCAGAGAGATGTTCAGTGCTGAGACATGGAGCATAACACCTCAGAAAAAATAACTACCACACCACCTCCCCACCTCCAGGAAAGGAAAAAACCCCCAAACTCATATTTAGCCGTGCTAAATGTGAGTTTTCCTTTCCAGCATCCTCACTGCTTTGAAGCACTTGCACTCCAAATTACAAGGGAAACATCAGAGGATGAAGTGTTTGTGCTCAGAGCTGAACCAGCCTGTTGGATGTGTGGTGCAGCTAAAGGGGAGCTCCTGGATGACATTTGTGCTTTGAGATGACAAGAGAGGTTTTCTGGCATTTTCTCCCTGCTGAGCTGTGCTGCTGTGCCACCACAGAACAGGTATTTCAGGTCATTCAGGGAGTGGTATCTGCATTTCAAGTATTCTTGTCTAGCTGACCTCATCATCCCCAAAGAGCTTTCACTCAAAATGCCCATTTCTTGCTCCTGCATTTGGGCCCAACAAAACCCTGGGCTATAAAAACCATTTCCCTCAGGGGAAATGCACTTTCTGGATATATTCTCACTATTTCCCACTTACTTTCTCAATTATTTTTTTTTTAATTTTTATTCTTTTAGAATCTGAACAAGAATTTCATTGGTTTCTGGGCCCCTACCCTGAGTTAGAACCTCCCTTGTGCAACCCAGCTGCTCAGTCCTGCTTCACCACAGCACCTTTTTTTTTTTTTTTTGCTTGTGTCCAACACTCAGAGAAGGAACAAGAAGGATGCAGGAAAAGACTCAGAAACCAGGAGGCCTGTCTGCCCACAGTGCTACAGGGATTTCCTTCGAGCAAAAAGACCTGTCACACATGAAAGCCAAATGTAGCATCATGTGGAAAACATTCTTCCTGCTGTTTAATCTGTGTTTTTTGTGACCTGAGTGCACTCACCCTGTGCCTGGTCAGACAAGCCCAATTAACACCTTAACTGGGAGAGCTTGTTGGAACCAGCTAATGGGAAACACCAGACCTTGGAAATGAGGGGGGATTTGAGGTATTTGACAATGACCCCACATCACTGAGTGCTCATTTTGTTTTTCTCCCCTAAAGACACAGAATGAAGGGTAACCTCTCAGTTCAACTGAGGTGTAAACAGATCCCTTCTCACAGAACTTCTGCCTTAGCAGGTATAAGGAACAGAAAAAATAGGTCAGGTCATGACTGAGTCTGATGATCTGTGTGACAGATCTGTGGCGTTCTGTCCTTTTTGAAGATGAATTTTAGACTCAATTCCAGTAATACAGACTTCCCTCTATGCTCATATCCCTTTGAAGAGAGGTGCTAAACAGATGATGGTGCCTCAAAAGGACTTAGTAGTGGTTTGTATCACTCAGCAGTGATGGCATAAATCAGGTTATTGCTGTAGACATCAGATGCTGTTCATTGTTTGAAGGGCACTAACATCACAGTTTCAAAGGGATGTGATTTGCATCGTGAGAGCAGGATGTTTTCCTCCTCTTGGGAGATATCTGTGTTTAACTGCAGCTCTGCAGTTTTCATCTGCAACTGCTCTGAACTGGCTGCAGCACTTGGATGCTTCTCCACAACGTGAGTCATTCTAGAGATTTAAGATACAGTTGTCTTCCAGTCGGTTGTTATCGAATACCCACACTTCAGATGGGTTTCAATTGTCATGAAGCTGTTTTACCAGTTTAATCTCCACTGGAGAAACTTTTCTGTGGCTTGTGAAACGCTCTGAAATCCTCTGGCACAGCTGGAGGAAAAGACTCGTGCATTAGATGTTTGCAAAACATTAGAGAACGTAATGTGGAGTGGGATGGGTGCTTCTGGACACCAAGACAAGCTGTCCTGGCCACACCTGCCACCCAAGCTGTAAGGAAGGATGGTACCAGGCATGTTCAGACCCACCACTCCGCTCGTCCTCAGCGCCCAAAACAAATAAATACAAACTGCTTATTCATGTTTTATTCGTTAGTAAACTTACTCGGCATAAATAATAAGAGCAGCCCCTCAGCACCTGGTGCCAGGTGCCGTGGACTGGCCCCGGGGGGGGACTGTGTGTGGGCACAGCCCTATTTCCTCTGGGCGCCTGCGATGGCCGGTTTCTCCTCGCGGGTGATGGGGATGGAGCGCTCGGGGACGTCGCTCACCTTCCTGGGTGCACTGACGGTCAGCACCCCGTCCAGGGACAGGGACGAGGTGATGGTCAGAGGGTCCACGTCGTCGGGGATCCTGTATTTCCTGTTGAACTCCCTGGAGATGAAGCCGTGCTCGTCCTTCAGGAGGAGAAGGGACAGGCACAGTTAGGAGAGTTCTCTCGGCACCGCCCGAACCGCGGGCCCTGGGCAGGCAGAGCCTGCAAAGGAAAACCTCCCAGGGAGTCAAAAGAGCTTTTAAAATGAGATGCCCTCTTTAAAAAGAGCCAAGTCTGGCCAAAGGGAGGCAGTGCCCTGGCTGGGTGCAGGTGCCTGCAGGTGCCAACACTACTGGCAGGAGGAGGCTTTGTGTTCCACCTCTGGGCTTCACTGCCCAGCTCTGGGCAAGGGGCAGCACCAGACCTGCCTGCAGTGCCAACCACACCAGCTCCTGAGGGTCTGCAGGGCCCCAGTGAGCTGATCTCTGTTAGAGTGCTGGATTGTGTTCTTAGCCCAAAAAAATTGCAGAAACTATACTAGGATTACAGGATTATTATTACTATTATTATTATTATTATTATTGTTATTATATTGATATTGTTATTATATTATTATTATCTTATTATTTTTATATTATTTCAATTTATTTTTATATATGGATATTTTATTTTTATTATTATTATTTGGAGTATTATTGTTATTTTTTTTATTATGTTCTCAGCAAAAAAAAAAGTTGCAGAAGCTCTGTCAGGATTACATGCCATTATTATTATTATTATTATTATTATTATTATTATTATTATTATTACATGACAACTCCAGCTACTTTATCATGAGTGTTCCCTTCCTTCCAGCAGGGAACTGGACACAGGAGGTAGGAGGGATATGGAGACTGGAAAATGCTGTTTCATCCACCTTTGAACATGGCTTTGGATTTCTCTCTGCCCAGTTGGCACCCAGGTCTCCAGGGCCAGCAAGAAGTGGGATTATGAGAGCAGAGCACAACCTTTAAGGGTTAGAAACTCATAGCTGGGCCTGGGAAAGGTTACACAACAGGGCAGTGCACTGGTTTCTTCTGTGGTTTGATTATCACAGCTTGTTGTCAGTGTATTGAACACCTCCCTGCATTTCTGGCCTCTCCCCAAAAAGAGGGAGGCCCAAAAATGCCCATTTCAAAGACGATTTTCCAGTTCGGTTCACAGTTCGTGTAACATCAGCAATAAATGTTCACCCTCTTGCTGCCCTGCCTGGGATCAGCTGGGGGGTTTTGCACAGGGCATCTTCCATTGGGGTGGGCTGATAAAACAAAAAATGCCAAGTGTCTGAGGTGAGCCCAGGGGAGGAGTGTTTTGCAGCCTCCTTGTTTCACCGGGGGTGAGGAAGCTCCCGCTGGGAGTGGCACAGTTAAATCAGAGGTACCTGGCGCTCCTCGTGCTTCCCGTGGATCTCTATCATGTCCCCGAGCACCTTCACTTTGAGCTCCTCGGGGGAGAAATGCTTCACATCGAGATTTACATAAAACTTGTCCTTGTCCAGTCGCATCTGCAAAACAAGGAGGTGACTTCAGGAAAGAGCAGGTGAGGGTTTCTGCTTCGAAAGGCTCTCAGAACAGGCCAGCACTCAGCTGGTGTCTGCACATGCACCGACCTTTGTTTTGGGGTTCTGATCTGAGGGGCTTTGTCCCTGGCTGGCCTTGCATTAATGCCCATCCCTGCGGTACCTGAGATTCTCAATTTGTTAAAATCTGCCAAAACTGACCCTTGAGTTGGTGTAGTGCTGATTATGCTGTGCTTCAGTGCACAGCCAGACCCAGGTCGCCAAATCAGGGCAAACATTGTGCAAAGATTAAAATAATACTTTCCTCTCCCTCCTTCTGCTCAGAATAGCTCTACAAGCTACTTGTAAATAAGAGATTGAGTCGTAGAACAGGTAAGTGCCTCTTGGCTCAGCCCCTGAAGCAAGCAGGCTCCTGCTCCTTGATCCTTTGGGTCCTGTATCTTACTGAAAACGCTGCTCTTCTCGGCAGTGATTCTTTAAAACAGGCCCCTTTTTCCTCAGCAGCCTGACATGAGCATCCCACTGCCCCTGCCCCTGTGCTGTTTGCTTCTCAGGTGGGAGTGGGATTGGAAGTTTGGCATAGCAGACTGGGAAATTAGGGAAATCAGGCTTCCTCCTGTCTTCTGTCAGCTCTTAGAGCCACCTCAGTTTGCCTCTCTTCCCATCACTATGGCAATATTTGCTCTCAGCCCCAAACGATGAGCAGAGCACGCAGAGCTTCTTGCCTAATGAAGAGCCACAAGCACAGCACCCTTTCCCCCAGCCTTCTCCTAAATAACCACCTGCAAGCAGCTTCCAAGCTCTCAGCTCTCCTGGGTGTCCAGCTCCAGAGCCAGCAGGATGTGCACACAGCGGTAACAAAGAGCACGAAGAAGCAAAGATTACCTCAGAGAGTCCTGTCTCTAGCCAACTGGGCATCCGAAGGATGGGGGATCTCATCAGGAAGGGGCTGAAGCTGGGGGAAACAGGGAGCAGCTCTGACTCCTGCAGGTGCTCCCCGAAAATCTGGTCAAAGATACGACTCGGTGCCAACCAAGAAAAGAAGGGTCTGCGGATCAGGGGGTTATGAATGGTGATATCCATTGGAGAGCGCTGGAGGAGCCTGGCAAACAACTGTGCTGCTGCAGTGCCGTGCTGGGAGCCTGGGACAGCTTTATACCCGTGCAGCTGGCCTGGCCTTCCACCCCCCCGAGGCCTCTTGAACAGTGGTGTCAGGGATTTTATTGTCCCACTCCTGGGCCGGTCCCCTCGGCGGTGCCCAGTAGCTGTCTGAGGGATTTGAACGCGCTGCTGAGGAGGAGGGGGAAGGGGAGAAGAAGAAAAGGAGCCCAATGGGGCAGCAAGAAGCCAAAGTGCCCGGCCCGCCCCGCTCCCCACGTGCTGTTTATCTGCAGAGTCCCAGGCGGGCTTGGCGGATGTTCCCAGCTGCTTTGGATGCCAACGGGATCAATGCAGCTCCTATCTTTGGCTCCCAGGGAACGCGACAAGGGGCCGTTGTTCCCGCTGCCAGCGCCCAGAGTTCAGCTCCCCACATCACCCACCAGCCCTGGGGAGGGCTCTGCCCCTGCCCACAGCAAAGGGAGTCACAGAGCCGGGGGGCAGGGAAGGTGCCAGCAGGTCTTTGCTGGGATGCCCCTGGCACTGCAGCCCAGGAAAGCCCCACAGCTGCCTTTGTGCCCAGTGGTGTGTGGGAATGGAAGGTGGATTTCTCCACCCTTCAGCCCAACACCTCTGGTCTTCAGCCCATCAGAGAAAACACTGGAGAGCCCAACAGTGTGACCTCAGAGCCCCAGGGGGCCAGAACAGAGATAACCTGGGCAAGCTCATGGTGCCTTCTCAGGGATTCGAGCCACCTCTGTCTGCCTGTGCCCCTGCACTAAGCTCATTTTCTATAGTTGTGCTCCTAATACATCTTAACTCACACATTTATTTTAATTCCTGCCTCGCCTGTGAGCCTCAATCACAGGAATGGGTTCAGCCTGGCAACTGTACTTAAAGGGCAAGAACTAGTCTCTGCCTCTGAGAGCTTGTAACTTAAACACAATTTCTGGCTCAGGGGCACATCATTCTTACTGCCAGCACTGCCAGCCCTTTGCAAAAGGCTCTGAGCCTCTTTCTCTCAGCTTGCCTGCAAGAATAGGGAGCAGAATTTGCTCTGTGCAGCAGCTCAGGCCATAAATACCCTCTCCAGTTCCCCATTACATCAACAGCACTGCACCTGCTCCCTCACACTGCAGGGACACGGGCTCAGGGAAATCTCTGGTTTCAGGGTACGTGGAGCTCAACTGGGCTCTGCTCCCCTCCTGCACCACCAGCAGCCTCCAGCCCTGTCCAATGGGACTGGGTCTGTGCCAGCTTCACCCCTTGGTTAACTCTTGATCCCTGGCACAGGGATTTCTTCAGATCTCAGTGCACCAAAGCCCTGGCCAAGGGAACAGCCTGGACAACCAGCTTGGAGCAGCACGGTCCAGGATGGGGAGGTGTCAGTAATGGGGTCTGGATCCTGTCTAGTCCAGGTTAACTACCTGCAGCACTTTACCACTCAAAGGAGCTCAGCCTCTGCAAAAATCAGGCTCTGTGTTCAGGGCACGGGAGGGGCTGATCTGGGCCATGGGTGTGACAGGGACTTCATTGCACAGCCTGAACATGCACCAGCCAGCATTAGCTACTGCCCTGTCCCCATGAGGGGCTTCAGGGCCATCAATACCATCAGTACCACCCATACCAGTGCCAGGGACCCCCTGGACCTGCTGACTGGCCTTGGAGCACCACCAGCAGCACAGCCTGGGCTCTGTCCTGCTTTTCCCCACTTCAGCCTCCTTCAGCTCATCCTCGTACCTCCCAGCTGCCCATTCCCCTCCTGCAGCCCCTGCTCCAGAAGGGGTTCTCCGGGGCTGGGAGGACGTGTGGGATGTTCCCAAGGTGTCCGTGACCGCAGGCAGTGCCTGCACTCCCTGCTGGAATGCAGCGAGAAGCTTCTCCCGTCACCCTGGCGAGGCATCCTGGGCCCTGTGCGCGTGGCTATTTTGGTCCATCTTTTTATCACACACTCCTCCCTTTGGAATTCACCCAATTAAAACCTTGCAATCTGCAGCCTTCACTCTCAGAGGCAGCGAGGGCTCGGCAGGTCCCTGTCCCCAGCCCCGCCATGGCCGCACGGACCGTCCCCCACGCCCACCCCATGAGCTCCGAGTACGAGTTCGCCAACCCCAGCAAGATCTACGACCAGAACTTTGGAGAAGGTAAGGAAGGAGGTGGGATCCCCCCTGGCACCTCTCTCTGCCCTGCTGCAGGAAGGCTGTGGTGGAGCTCCCCTGGGCAGATTGACCCCCGGAGCAGGCTAAGGGAGGCAAGGAATTTGGAGGGTAAGAACGCAGATCAAACCAGGGGGATAGTCAGGGGCTCTCTCTTCATGTCCAGTTCCTCCATCCATGCCTACTGCTGTCTGTGCTGTCCCTCCCTCATGCCACCCATGCTCTGGCATTCATGCACATGCTGTGAAAACATGGAGCGAAATGCTTAGGGGAGGGGGGGGGAAGTTTTTTCAGCCAGGGGATGTGGAGAAAAGCTGAGTTGGGGTGTTCAGCACAAAGCTGGGCAGTGGCTGGCGGAGGGGAAGGAATGTGGGCAGCAGCAGAACCATTCAGCTCCAGCACAACAGAGTGAAAAGGCAAAAAGCTCCAAGGAAAGCCCCCTGGACAATGGCACACAAAAGGCCTTTAGTTCTTCAGGGCAGTTTCTTCACCATCAGCATTTTCCATGCCCATCCCTGGCTGTGGGCTCTGCACTGCAGAGCACCCACTGCACCTCCCAGTCCCTCCCAGTTCACCCAACAGACATGTGAAGCTGGATGCCAGCCCTGGGCTCGCTGGCAGCCCTGGGCTGTGTGGTGGGAGGCAGTGGCTGGCAGGCTCTGTGTGTGTGTGTGTGTGTGTGTTTTAGAGACACAAAGGTAGGAACTGCAAGAGGCTCCACCCATATTGTGCTGATGTGGTGGCAAACCCAAGGTGTGTGCCAGGTGCCAGCCTCCTCCTGCCACCCTCCCCTGTCTGCTGCCAAGCATCCTCCTCCAGCTCCTCCCTTGGGAACCCCACACTCCTCACCGAGTCTCCTTTCCAGGTGTGTCCCCATCTGAGATTTTAGCCCCTGCCCTGTACCACGGCTACTACATCAGGCCTCGGATCAACAAGCAGCTGGACCGGGGCACCTCCGAGATCTGCCTGAACGAGCACAAATTCCAGGTGTTCCTGGACGTCTGCCAGTTCCTGCCCGACGAGCTCAGCGTCCGCACCGTGGACAACCTGCTGGAGGTGGTGGGCCAGCACCCCCAGAAGGCTGATCGCCACGGCTTCATCTCCAGGGAGTTCACCAGGACCTACATCCTCCCTCTGGACGTCGACCCCTTGCTGGTGAGGGCCACCCTGTCCCACGATGGCATCCTGAGCATCGTGGCTCCCCGCACCGGCAAGGAGCTGAAGGCCAAAGTCAACGAGGTGAAGATAACGCAGGAGGAGCAGCCAGTGGGGAAAGAAGAACAGCCCGAGGAAGGAAAAGAGAAGGAGAAGTCCTAAAGGCCCCAGGTGTGGGCTTGCACTGGGAAGGTGGGGGGGACAGGGATGGGGAATCCACGGTGACAGACTCGTGTTTCTCGCCATCGGTGTTTAGCAGGGCTCTGAGGCAGCCAGACTGCTGCTTCCCAAGGCTGATGGCTGGAAAAAAGGGACTTGGAGCTGAAAACAGAGGGGGACTGAAGTGCTAGTGTGAGGGAGTGAGTGTAATGCGAGTTTTCTCCTAGCTCAAGTGTTCATGGAGCACCAGGCAGGGTGCTCTTCTCTCAGCCCAAAAGAGCAGGGCCACTCTTACCCCAAACTGTGAGGCTGTGCCACAGGGGACTGTGAAACAGCTGCTGTGCTCTAGCCCAGGAGGGAAGAGGGAAGAGATGATCCCAGTGCCTTGCCTGTGAGCTGGTGGCTGAGCTTTGTGGACACGGGAGGTGCTTGTTGGTCTGTAAAAGTGCCTGCAGTTCTCAGGAGGGAGGAGGAATAAACCTGCCTCTGGTCTTCCCTTGCTTGCCTTGGGTTCCTGTTGCTTCTGGCCTGCAGCAGGAAGGATGGACAGCACCTCAGCTGTGGAAGTGGCATCAGTGGTGCCATGGAGGGACTGTGGGGCACCCAGGGGCACCTCTGTGATTCACCTCCTGGCTGAGGGGCAGCTGCAGGGTCTGTTGTAGGGAGCCCTCAGTGGAGCAGCCTCAAGGACAGAAGGTGCAGAGAGTGATGAGCTCCTGGAGGGTCCCTGTGCACCTCCAGACCTGCAGGTGGGATTAGCCCAGGTAAACTAACGCCATGGTCTCTGTTTGCCCTCAGCCCTCTGGTCCATGGGACACCAGGCTCGTTCACACACCGACCTTCTCAGCCCTTGGGAGGGGAGCAAACCCCGAAATGCTGCAGGGAAAGGCTCTGCTCAGATTCCCCCAGCACCCTCTGTGCAGTCCCAGAGGGGGTGGCTTTGGCCCCTTTGCAGGAGCTGTGGTGTCACTGACTGGCTGCATGAGAAATGTCCCCGTGGCCTCGTGATGCTGGGCCAGGATCGTGTGAGCTGCTGTCGGGGCAGCTGCTGCCCCGGGCGGCCCCAAGGGCTCAGCAGGTGCCAGCTGCAGCCCTTGTCTCGTCAGAGCCAAGTAAAGCAGGCAAAATGCTGTGTCAGTGCCTAAATATGGGGGTCCCTGGCGTGCCTCAGGGCAGCTCTCCCTCAGACACCCCTGGGGATGTAACTTCTCCCTCTCCCCGCTGGGATGTGCCCTGCAGGACTCTGCCCTCTGCCTCCATGGGTACCTGGGGGCAGAAACGCCCTGCTCAGCGTTCTGTCCCAGGCAGCACATCCCCTCTGCTGCTGGAACTACACAGCTATTTTCTGCTCCTCAGGGCCCCTGGCAGCAGGGAGGATCAGAGGCAGATTAAGAGCAGCCCTGTCTGCTGGCTCAGGACCCAGTGGGAGGGTGGCTGAGCCTCCAGCCCTGGTGCAGCCCAGGTACCACACTCAGTCTGGGCCCCTGGGGGATGCCCTTACTCGGGAATTGGAAGCAGACAAGCTGCTGCCAGTGAGACACTGTCAAAATAGAAATATAACAGGCGTTGTCTAAGTCCTTAATAATAACTCCAGAGATAATTCTGGGCTGGTGACTTTCAGTCACCTGAAGCAGCTGCACCCAACACCCACTCAAACCCCCAGTCCAAGGAGGGCTGAGTTCCTGAGCCCAAATCCCTGTGGGGAGGGCAG